GGAGTGTTGGGCGCTATTTTGGGCCAGGATCCATGAAGGCTGTAAATGCTGAAGGATTTGGGCTCAGGACTTGGGGTTTAGGACTTCACCCAAAACGAAACGCACGCCAGGAGCAGCCTAGATACATTCATTGACTAAAGCTTCCCCTAAACCCTAAACCCTAAACCCAACCCCTAAGCCCCAAACCCTGAACCCTAACCCTAACCCCAACCCCAAACCATTCAGGTATGGAGGAAGCCTCGAGGCCTGAGTTCTAACCCTCCCCCAGCCCCCGTTGTGAGGAACAGGGTTTAGGGTTTGGGGTTTAGGGTTTAGGGTTTGGGGTGTGCCCGCGACCCTCAACCCAAAACCTTCAACCCTAACCCCAAAATCCCGGACCCTCGCCCCTAAACCCTAAACCCCAAACCACAGCAGCAGCGCCAGTAGGGCTTAGGGTTTAGGGTTTCGGGTTTAGGGTTTAAGGGTTTGAGAACCACTGAGGTTGCGTGAGTTAAGAGTTTAGGGTTTGGGGTTTAGGGCTGTCAAGGCTCCCCAATTGAAGCCAAAGAGTAATTCTTATGGAGTGTTGGGCGCTACTTTGGGCCAGGATCCATGAAGGCTGTAAATGCTGAAGGATTTGGGCTCAGGATTTGGGGTTTAGGACTTCACCCAGAACGAAACGCACGCCAGGAGCAGCCTAGATACATTCATTGACTAAAGCTTCCCCTAAACCCTAAACCCTAAACCCCAACCCCTAAGCCCTAAACCCTGAACCCTAACCCTAAACCCCAACCCCAAACCATTCAGGTATGGAGGAAGCCTCGAGGCCTGAGTTCTAACCCTCCCCCAGCCCCCGTTGTGAGGAACAGGGTTTCGGGTTTCGACTCTCACACTGGCATAAGTTTCGGGTTTAGGGTTTAGGGTTTAGGGTTTGGGGTGTGCCCTCGACCCTCAACCCAAAACCTTCAACCCTAACCCCAAAATCCCGGACCCTCGCCCCTAAACCCTAAACCCCAAACCACAGACCAAGCCCTACGCTATAAGCATGAGCTCTACGGTGCTTCAATGTCGATGTTTGACTGTCTTGGAAAAGCTGGGCGGGGAGAAACCAAGGGTTCGATGCCGGGACACGGGATTCAACGAGTCTCCAAGTGGCATCGTCAGGGCATCGACCGAAAGCAGCGTTCATCATGGCCAGGGCAACGCGTTGGGCTTCCTTGCAGAATGGTTGGGCAGCAGAATGCTAAACACCAATGTATCAGGGTTTTGGGCAGCAAGCAGTCTTAGCAGGTGTGTTATTCTGCCAAAGTTCTTCGCATGAGCGAGCAGTCGGATACGGCGTAGAGCGAAGCAAAGTCGATGACGATGAAGAAGTACGCGGCATAGAGCGAGGCAAAGCCGAGGACCATGAAGATGTGTCCGGCACGGAGCGAGGCAAAGCCGAGGACAATGAAGACGTGCCGGCCACGGAGCGAGGCAAAGTCGAGGACCATGAAGACTGGTCTGGCATGGATGAAGACGGGTCTGGCATGGAGCGAGGCAAAGTCGAGGACCATGAAGACGGGTCTGGCATGGAGTGGCGGCGGTTCCAACGATTCACACGCTCCGAACTGTTCCACCCAGTGGCATTCCAAGAAGAGTCAGCATGCCAGGAAGAGTCTGAGGAGCCCGAGGTACGCCAGGAAGAGTCTGAGGAGCCAGAGGCATTCCACGCAGAGTCGGCATCACGGCGGTCCTGCCACTGCTGCACGTGCCTCCATCGGCGCTCCCAACGACTGAACTCCATGGACGAGTCCGACATCGAAAGAGACACGCACAAAAAAGAGGTAAAGGTGGACAAAAACTTGGGCAACAAATGCCTGCGATGGCAAAACAAGACAAGGGAACAGGTGGAGCACAGCACGTGCAATGAGAAAGTTTCAGAAGTACGTGCCTACTCAGGGAACCCACAACGTCTGATGGCACTCCTGCTTTTGAGGGTGGGGCAAACACCATGCACTTTGCGAGGGGGTCGCCAAAACGAAGAGTGTGTCAAACACAGCAAGCAGAGGCGATGTCAGTCCTATATTTCACCCATACATAGCTTCCACGCGTTGCAAGTTTTCAAAGGGCCAGCGTGTGCAACGCAAGCCCTTAGCAGCCCAGATACTTGCCCCACTACCCGGGCTGGGATGTCCGAAATATGTACCTCGCAGTCTGTAACGAGTTAGAGAATTTTATAGCATTGCAGCTGAACTGCACCAGAGCTACTTCTGGCACCCAGCAAGAAAAACAAAAGAGAGACTAAGGCTGCCCATATGTGGGACAGGAACCTTCATGATATGTTCGCCTCGGCTTCCAACCATTTTGCGTCTAGAGCTAGAGCAAGCAGACCATGACCTGGTTTCCTTCCCTCCTTCCCGAAATCTCTGACTCACCCCCCCTCCTCCCGCCCTGTGGGACCTGCCAAAACCACTTGGAGGCGCTGCAACCCTCTAAAACCTCCCTGGGACACTTTCTTGGCACCATTTCTGGTGTTCGCCTGGGACTGTCCTTGAACCTTCCTGGGAGAGCCCTGGAACAGACGCTGCACCCCGCTGCAGGCCGGACCAGCTGCCGAGGCGGCGCGCGCAAGCGTTTGCAATTATTAACAGTAATAGAACTTTCTTGTCTTTATCGCCGCCACTATTAGCTATGTCTCTATATGGGAACGTTTTACACATGCGTGGTAAGAGAGGAATACAAACATCATCAATTTTTCATAGGGCGTCGCGAACCTATGTTTTGGCCTTAGGTTGAGGATTTGTGAACGCCAAAATGGTCAAAAATCACTAAAAATTGCCATTTCGGTGGTTTCCAAAGTCGCCAAAATAGCCAAAATTCATATGTTTTGGCTCTAGATTGAGGGTTTGTGAAGGCCAAAAATTGCACAAAATCACAAAAAAATACCATTTGGGTGGTTTCCCAGGCCGCCAAACTAGCCGAAATCCCTATGTTTTGGCCCTGGCTTGAGGGTTTGTGAAAGCCAAAAATGGTCAAAAAGCACAAAAAAATTTCCATTTGGGCGGTTTTCAAGGCCGCCAAATGAGCCAAAATCCCTATGTTTTGGCCTTAGGCTTAGGGTTTGGCCTTAGGTTTAGGGTTTGTGAAAGCAAAAAATTGTCATTGCCATTTGGGTGGTTTCCAAGGCCGCCAAACTAGCAAAATTCCCTATGTTTTGGCCCTAGGTTGAGGGTTTGTGAAGGCTAAGAATTATCAAAAATCACTAAAAATTGGAATTTGGGTGGTTTCCAAGGCCGCCAAACTAGCCAGAATCCCTATGTTTTGGCCGTAGATTGAGGGTTTGTGAAAGCAATAAATGATCAACAATCACTAAAAATTGTCATTTGTGTGGTTTCCACAGCCTCCAAACGCGCCAATGTCGCGAAAATATCCGCAAACATATCCACCCTGTAACACCGGGCGTCGCGAAAATATCTACCCTGTCACACCGGGCGTCGCGAAAATATCTACCCTGTTACACCAGGCGTCGCGAAAATATCTACCCTGTCACAGCGGGCGTCGCGCATTAGGCCATTGGATAGGGACTTTGAAGGCGCAAAATACCAAGAGATCACAGATACATACCCTGTAACACCGGGCGTCGCGAAAATATCTACGAAAATATCCACCCTGCAACACCGGGCGTCGCGCATCAGGCCATTGGATGGGGACTTTGAAGGCGTAAAATTCCCAGAAATCACCAATACTTACCCTGTGACACCGGGCGTCGCGCAGCTGGTTTTTTTTTCTAATTTCTCCCCATTGAGGCCAACCGGGGGTTTCAGTAGTTTGAATAGTTTGAATAGATTGAATAGTTTGAATAGTTTGGGGCCCCAGGCCGGGCCCCCAAACTATTCAAATTCAAACTGTTCAAACCCCTCCCCTCTCCTCCCAGGGACCCCCCTAAACTATTCAAACTATTCAAACTATTCTAACCTCCCCCCCTTCTCCTCCCAGGGACCCCCCAAAACTATTCAAACTATTCAAAATATTCAAACTATTCAAACTATTCAAACTGTTCAAACTATTCAAACTATTCAAACTATTCAAACTATTCAAACTATTCAAACTATTCAAACCCCCGGGCTTGAATAGCTTGAATAGCTTGAATAGTTTGAATAGTTTAGGGCCCCAGGCCGGACCCCCAAACTATTCAAACCCCCCCCCCCTCTCCTCCCGGGGACCCCCCAAAACTATTCAAACTATTCAAACTATTCAAACTATTCAAACTATTCAAACCCCCAGGGTTTGAACAGCTTGAATAGTTTGGATAGTTTAGGGCCCCAGGCCGGACCCTCCAAACTATTCAAACTATTCAAACTATTCAAACTATTCAAACCCCCAGGGTTTGAATAGTTTGAATAGTTTGAATAGTTTGAATAGTTTAGGGCCCCAGGCCGGACCCCCCGCCCCCCAGGGTTTGAATAGTTTGAATAGTTTAGGGCCCCAGTTCGGACCACCAAACTATTCAAACTATTCAAACCCCCCCCCCAACTCCTCTCCTCCCAGGGACCCCCCAAAACTATTCAAACTATTCAAACTATTCAACCTATTCAAACTATTCAAACTATTCAAATTCAAACTATTCAAACTATTCAAACCCCCAGGGTTTGAATAGTTTGAATAGTTTGGATAGTTTAGGGCCCCAGTTCGGACCCCCAAACTATTCAAACTATTCAAACCCCCCCCCCTCCTCTCCTCCCAGGGACCCCCCAAAACTATTCAAACTATTCAAACTATTCAAACCACCAGGGTTTGAATAGTTTGAATAGTTTAGGGCCCCAGGCGTGACCCCCCAAACTATTCAAACTATTCAAACCCCCCCCCCCCCCCCCCCCCCCCCAACAAAAGGACGAATCATCACATTATACACAAAGGTTCCTGCCTCATATATATATATATGCATATATGCACACACACATATGTATATATATATATACACACACACATACGTACATATATGCATGTATGCAAGCCGTGCTGTAGCAGCGCCAAGTCTCCGCCATGGCGGAGACGATGTTCACCTTGGAGGTGCGCCCCTCAGCCCTCCGTTCCCTGCTCTCTGGCATCACGTCCCCTTTAACCCAAAGGCACTTCTCACTGGCAACGGGCGCAGTCGAAGCAGGCCTTCCTTAAAAAAGACAGAACTAGTCCCTTGCCTTGATCGAAGTATCCTGGATCCCCTCCGGCTCTCCCCCTGAACCCCCTGAAATCCGGGTTGTCAGGCTTGCTTTGGGTTGCTGTCCGGGTGCTGTAAGGCATGAGGGGGAGCTACCGGAAAAACCTGACATAAATTGCAGCAAGGCGCATAGATGCAAAGCCCAAACTCCTCATCTCCAGCGGCAAGGTGCACAAAGTGAAGACCCGAAAAGAAGGTTGATTAACGAACAGTGGGTGCTTGAATCGCATGTATCTGCTCTTTCCTCGGAATACATGGCCACCTTCTAAATACATGGTTCTAGCTTTCGTCACCCGGACCAACCCCTCATCAAAAGGCAAACTTGCAAACATTTCCACAGGGATTCGGTTCTCTCGTCATCTGTCGCTAGATTAGGTACTTAGGGCTTAAGAGTTCATTGGAGTTTTTAGGACGTGGCATTCTGAGCGAGGGTTAGGCTGCCTTGCAGTGGGGCCTTCGGAAGCAACCCAGACATCTGAGCAATGCATCTGCATCGTTGCGCTCATGCCCCTGAATCACACCGAGAATTACAGGGCAGTCTTGCCGGGATGCGAAGGGTTCTGGTGCCCTCCATGACCGCCCTACCCGCGCGGTGTGGATGCGATGGTGGACCTTCAATCCCACTGCGGAGGCTCGAACCGCTCTTACACGCAGCTGTATTTTAAATCGGGGGTCGCTTTATGCACAGCAGATCGCTTAAGGCCGCGGGGGTGGTCTGAATGGCTTGAATGCTTTTTCAGTTTTTCAAGAAGTACAGCCGGATGAATGTGCGGGCGTACGAGCTTCAGGAGAAGTGCGCCAGATCCCAAAGTCCTAGTTGAACCCCTCGATCCCGAAGCCGAAGCCGGACAGCCGCTGCTCCAGACTGCAAGCCAAGCTTCATCCAGAACTGTCGCGCTTTGGACGTCGCCGACATCCTCGCCAGAGTTTAGGCTCGCTAGAATGGAGGCTTGACAACATTGCCGAGATTGGAACTGCAACTTGTCCCGGCTTAAGTCGTAACCTGACATCCCGCACCACTCTGGAGAGCTCAGCGCCGGGCGATGGTGATGACCTGGGCCAGGGTGCTATCCGAGAACCGCTTGCATTAGCGAATTCCACAATTCAAACATGTTGAAGGGTACCGTATGATGACAGAAACAGGGTTTACTTTAGGCTTCAGGGATCAGGGCTTCGGGCAGCGAGCAGATTGGGGCTCAGGGCATATGGGCTGTACAGAGCTATTTTTTGCTTGCTCCAAAACCGATCCTACCTTGCGGCCCGGGTCGCTCGGGCTTCCGAGAGAAAGCCCACCATCTCCCCTTGACCTGACACGTCCACGGCCGCAGCCCTACAGAACCACAACCCCTAAAAACCCTACAGCCTCAACCCTAAACAGCCACTTCCGAGCGTACCCGGGCCGGAACTGGGTTGGCCTTTAAACTCTCTGAAAAAAACAATATATATATATATATATATATATATATATATAGGGCCCCTTATAAACCCAAATAAGGAAGATAAAAAATGTCCCAAAAACCAACCTAGAGAAAGCCCTTATATGGGGTTTCGACTTGCGAGGGTATGGTTCGAACAGTCCCAAGACGCAAATGCACTCACACGTGAAACCGTTCAGGGTCTAGGGTGCCTCCTTTTTGCCAACAGGCTTTTCAAAGTCCAGCCCCGGCTTCTTAAACTGGCAGTGGGAATTTGAGAACTGATTTGGCAGTGGGTGCCAACATGGGCCACCTCGTTGCAAAGATGAAGGCCATCATTTTCACGCATCTGCAGCAACCTGCAAACTAGAACCTTTTGGAATGAACCCTGAAGCGTTCCCTTTGAAACTTTAGGGAGGTTTCTGGCGCTGCAGCAGCGCGGCCCTCCCCGTCACGGCAAGAGGCCTCGGCAAGGGCTCGAGCTTTTTCTGTCTGAAGTCTGAGATGTCACGCATCTGATCCTGCTTTTCCTACGGACTACCCCAGTTCTCAAAGTGAATAAACGTCAGGCTCCTCGGAATGTGTGGAACCAGCTCTGCAACCCATGCGCGTGACGTCTCCTGACTTGGGTCTGGGTTTAGAGTTCCTCAGCCTTCAAGCACTCAGGCGCACAAGCTGCTAAACTTGCTAAACCCTGTTTGCATCGGGGCAAACCCAGAATTGAGCCCTTTTTGCAACTGGACCGCAGTACTGCTGCACACACCACCGGGCAACCCTAAATCAAAAGCCTTCACGACAGAATCCAACGCCCAAGCCCTTCGAGATCAACATGGGAAGTCCCCGAAGCTTGCTTCAAAGGGTGGAGCTGCCGACAAGAAGTGCCTCTTGCGGGGAACGCTGCATGGACCCCCAGAAAAAGTCCCAACAAACACAGAAAAAATGAAACCCTGAAGCCCAAAACCCACCCCCACAGTCATGTGCTCTGAATCTCCAACGCCCCTGGCTCAGAGGGATTCTATCTCGAGGCGGGCCTTGACCACAAGCATCATGCGCGGCTGCTGGGGGAAGAGGCGCAACCTGCGCAATGAGAGGTTCTCTGGAGTCACGGTGGGCTGATCTATATTATGGGCCGTTTTTGGCAGCCCAAAGCATAAGACATCTTACATATGCATATAAATGTATATACATATATATATATATATAAATACCCCCAAAGAGGCAGGCCATCATGTTGGGGGAAAATCATGATCGTCTCCACTCGAAGATGGTTTTGGCCGCTGACTCTAGGTGAGGTTCTCTTCACTGAAACAAGCTGGTTCTGAGAAAGGACACAAGAAACCACAATAAACTTAAAGGCGCCAGCGCAAGCGCAGTTTGGAACAGATGGGTGACTTGTTTTTGTGGTTGCCCGTCGAGAGCTCGGAGCTGAAGTCTGACTGCCTGAACTCTAGTAGGTCTAGACCTGGGAGCCTTGGTGCATCCTGTTTGTCTTTTTCGGGTTTTGGATGTGCAGGCCAATGTTCGGGGTTGGAGAGAATCCAAGGCGTCAGGATTTTGGCCCCAAGACGTGACCGAAGAAGTAGCTGTATGTGCAGAGTTGAAGGTCACGGGCTGTGGCATTGTGTTTTGGAGGTGAGGGCAATGTGCAAGGTTTAAATCGGGACCGTGATGGATGCTAACACATGCCCTCTGAGACATCGGCATTGCACACATGATGGCAGTGAGCCAGGCGAGATCCACGCTGCAGCCGTACCTGAGTTGCTGCTACCTCTCCACCGCCACGCAGGGCAGCAGCAAGGATGGCAAGAAGGATCTCCACATGGGCACAGCAGCCAGCGCCAAATAAACCTACCCAAAGCCCTGGCACAAACCCTCCAGCGTTGCAGATCAAACTGGGGCAGAAGACTCCTCATTGACGCACCCGTCCGCTTTGCGGCCGTAACCCGAGGAGGCCGAAGTAAACCGGCAAGATGTCGAAAGCAACCCAAGCAGTAAGCAGCCACGCTGCACGCCCTGCGCCGCATTGCGGAGGCTCCGTGCCACGGCAGGCTCGAAGAAGATACGCCGGGACCTGACATGCTTAGAGAGACAAAGCTTCGCCGCTAGCAGCTAGCATTAGCCGCTAGCATTATTGAGGGAACTTAGGGTGTCTCAAGACGAGGGCATTCTCGAGTGCAAAATTCACCGGGTCGAGCTCGCGCGTTGCGCGTCAACCCCGACCACCGAAAGGTTTGGGAGATTGCGCCATTTTCTTTCTTGCGCTTTGCACGACCGAGCATTCTGCTTCGGCCGGAGGTTGCTCGGCCTTTCTCAGGCCTTCGGCAAAGTCATGCCCTGTGAGGGACGCCGCTGGGAGTCTCTTGGCACAGAGGGTGTTTGTGACGCTTTGAAGAGCGCAAACTGACGCTCACGTTTTGGGTCTGTCTTCTGGTGATGCTGGGCAATATGAGGGTGTGGTTCAGGGTGCGGCCTCCCATGTACGGACGTTGGCGCAAGGAAGGCCTCGAACTTTTGCCTACGTCGCCTACGTGCCCGCTTGGGCGGTGCTCCGGGCCTGTTGCTCGACGTCAGCGGTATGCTGCAGATGGCAAACGGCACTTGCAAGTCCGCGCCTTTGGGTACAGTTTTGGGGCTTCCTCAGCGCGGGCATCTTCATTGGGGTAACCAAATTGAACAAACATCGACATGGACAAAGCAAACGATCAAGGCGCTCCGGCCTGGAACCGCACATCTGAGTCTTGCCGTGTTTATAGAGGCCAAGCCACCCAAAAGCGAAGAGCCTACGTCAAGCACCACCCCGACCACTCTGCAGCACAAAAACCCCAAACAGACCGTGAACCCTAGCTCCTTTTTTGGGGCCTTCGTCTCCCTCCCTAAGCCCTGCATCCAAGCCTCTACGTCAACAGCCTTAACATGCCACCCCAGGTGCAGCCCCTCGCGGCGTCCCCAGTCTTCGCAGATCGACTCGTGGTACAGATCCTCTTAGCGGTCGCAAGTAGTTCCTTTTTTAAGAAACCAGCATCTCAAAACAACCTAGGCCTTCAAACTTCAAAGCATTTGCATTTTCTGATGCTTTTGCCGTACGACTGGCCTTCAGAGAACCGAAACCGATGTCTTCGTACGAACGCTTGGGAGTGCAGGCAGGGCTTGAAGGACTTCAGCAAGGACTCACAACGTGAGTCCTCCATACTGACACTCCAAGGAGTCCAAACAGGCCCTGCTCGTTGCCCCAACTGTTTGCGTGCGAGGCTCGTCATTGGGCGCCTGCAACGTTTCGGGAGTGCGGCCTGACAGATGGAGCTTAGATTTAAAGCCCACAAATATCAAAACTCCACCCAAAATGGACCTCTCTGGCAGACTTTTCATATGTGCTCATCTATTCGCAGTTTGGGTGTGCGTTATAACTCGAAGGGATTGGTCCTGTTGCAGTGTAGGGCTTTCGCTTTTGGGGTCGAACGCATCTCGTTTGTGGGATTTGTGAAGAGGCCCCACAGGAGAGCCTGTGCCAAGCCCTGAGCTCCAAACCCCAAACCCTGAGGCCTACAACGCTTCCAACCGTGCCCTACACACCGAACTCCTCAACACCATCCTTCCAAAGACCGCCGCAGCCGCCGCTGGAGCAGGGCCAGTGGCCTCGTGCGGTGCAGCTTTGGGGTTCCAAGCTCTGGGTGTTTAGAGCTTGCCTTAGAGGGTTTTAGGGTCCAACCACTCAGCATGCTACGGTGGAACTTTGTGTTAAGAAATTTTATGAAGCAAGAAATTAGACTCTCGAATTGAGAAAAATAATTATATTCAGAGTCTGAATCGCAACCCAAACGTAATTACAAATTGAATGGCCTTTTTGCAAGGCTCCAGCCCTCCAGCCCTCCCCAGCCCTCCCCAGCCCTCCCCAGCCCTCCCCAGCCCTCCAGCCCTCCAGCCCTCCAGCCCTCCAGAATTAAGCCCTCCAGGATTAAGCCCTCCAGCCCTCCAGCCCTCCAGCCCTCCAGGATTAAGCCCTCCAGAATTAAGCCCTCCAGGATTAAGCCCTCCAGGATTAAGCCCTCCAGCCCTCCAGCCCTCCAGCCCTCCAGCCCTCCCAACAGCCCAGCCCTCCAGCCCTCCAGCCCTCCAGCCCTCCAGCCCTCCAGCCCTCCAGGATTAAGCCCTCCAGCATTAAGCCCAGCCCTCCAGCCCTCCAGGTTAAGCCCTCCAGGATTAAGCCCTCCAGGATTAAGCCCTCCAGCCCGCCGAAGGCTGCTGGAGGGCTGGAGGGCTGGAGGGCTGGGCTGGGCTGGAGGGCTGGGCTGGGCTGGAGGCTGCTGGAGGGCTGGAGGGCTGGAGGGCTGGAGGGGTGGAGGGGTGGAGGGGTGGAGGGCTGGAGGGCTGGAGGGCTGGAGGGCTGGAGGGCTGGAGGGCGGAGAAAGCAAAGGGTTGGTCAGGTTGAATAAGAAATGTTTTCAAGACTCTCGCCTCAAATCTACCTTTCTTAATACATCTGCCTGGTTAAGAAATGTCCCAGACTCTGGTGGACCTTCGAACCTTTCTTATCATAAGTTTTGACCGTACCTTTGGGGGGCTTAAAGAAGGCTCAAGGGAAAAGGAGGCTCCAAGGCCCGGGCTCCGCGGTTGGCCGCACCACCTGGCGGTGGCGGGCACCAACCTGCAGTGCGACCATAAAATGTCTATTAGCCTCTTAACCTCAAGAACGAGAGCTCATCTCCCTGCCACTTCCACTCGTCATGTTAATCTACAGTGACACACGGGGCCCCTCCCCCTCCCCCTCCCCCTCCCCCTCCCCCTCCCCCTCCCTCCTCCCCCTCCCCCTCCCCCTCCACCTCCTCCCCCTCCCCTCCCCCTCCCCCTCCCCCTCCCCCTCCCCCACACGAATTCATTCCGTTCTTCGCCGCACTGTTGTTCCTATCGTTGCCGGAATCCGACTGAAGCTGATCAAGCTCAGCCTCATGGCCTGTCGGGTTGCCGTTGCGCCGTCACAGGGTGTTGTCTTTGAGGCCCTAAACGCTACGTCGAAGCCCTATCTGCCGCCTCCTCCTCGTAGAAGCGAAGCAGATCCGCAAACAGAGCCTGGTGGTGGCGACAGGTGCTTTTTGGGATTCGCAGGTTCCTTGGTTGCAGGCCACCTGAAGCTCACAAGATGGCTCCGGCGACGTGCGCCCAAGATCAGAAAACTGTGAAAGGCCAGGGCATTGCCTGACCCGACAGGCCGTCGGAGTAGGCGTGGGTGATGCTGATGTAGACCTGGTTTCGCATGGATCTGGCAGTCACCACAATCATAGCCCATCTCTGTGCTACAGCCTTTGCATGCAGATGTGCAACTTGCTGTTCGAGCACATGCCCAAACTTCGGCTTGATGCGTGCGTCAAAGGTTTAAGGGTTTAGGAGGGCTAAGAATTGCAGCCTGACTAGCCGAAGATTCTAACTTTGATTCTTTTGACTTTCTGGCATACGAGGAGCTTCCTAGAGCTTGTCTGACGAGGAACGAACGCATTCACCCTGCAAAGCGAAAACTCATCGAAACACCTACCAACAAGCTACAGAATCCGTTGCCCTCTTCCAGCTGGACGGCGAATAACTACTCCCACTCAGCCTCGGCGAAAACCCTGTACGTTGCCGAGCCACCCTAAACCCTAAACCCCTAAACCCCTAAACCCCTAAACCCCTAAACCCCTAAACCCCTAAACCCCTAAACCCCTAAACCCCTAAACCCCTAAACCCCTAAACCCCTTAACCCCTAAACCCCTAAACCCCTATACCCCTAAACCCCTAAACCCCTAAACCCCTAAACCCCTAAACCCCTAAACCCCTAAACCCCTAAACCCCTAAACCCCTAAACCCTAAACCCCTAAACCCTCGGCAACTCTAGGGTTCCGGCGCTCACACTCAGGGCTTAGGGCTCCTGAGTCAGC